AGAGGCAAGGACACGGAGGGAGAGACGATAGGCAGGCCCAACCAGAGGCAACCACCAATCCCAACAGGAAAAGCTGCGCCGCCTCGAGCCACAGCCCACCCGAAGGCCAAGGATGGCGAACAAAAAGAATATAGAAAATAGTGATAAGAGAAAAGCAAAGTATGCATGAGAACGAGAATGATGAAGTAAAGCTCGGACAAGAAAGAACCAAAAAGCCGGAACAGGGAGCACGAAAAGTAGAAATATCAATAACTCAACCTAAACCTATTTATATAGAATATATATATATTCAAATAATATATATATTATATAAATAGGGTGAAATATGAAATGTGAATGTATGAAGAGACTACATGAAAGATATATAAATCTAATGTAAACATTAAAAATGGTAATGACAAAATATTGAAATCAGAAAATAATGAAAACATTAAATAATAAGAACCAATTTCAAGATCAGTTTTTTTGCTCACACATCCAGAAACAGTGTTTTTATTGTTGCTTCAAATCTTTCATGTTCAGAGACGATTCTGTAGATTTATAACTTTATATAAATATAAATTGATTGTTTTCAGAACAAAAGAACATTTATCTTCTAAATAAAAGATATTTGATTAAATATTGCCAGTGATCCAATAGCATTTTTTCTTTTCATCGTTCACACCAGGGGAGATAGAGGAGAGAGTCCTATACTTGCAGTCAGCCACCAGGGGGACGGATAGAGAGAGAGAGTCTATACTGGCAGTCAGCCACGCAGGGGAGATAGAGAGAGAGAGTCTATACTGCGCAGTCAGCACCAGGGGGGAGATAGAGAGAGAGAAGGTCTTATAACTGCAGTCCAGCCACCAGGGGAGAATAGAAGAAGAGAGTCTATACTGCAGTCAGCCACCAGGGGGAGATAGAGAGAGAGAGGAGAGTCCTATAGCTACGCAGTCAGCCACAGGGGGAGAGAGAGAGAGAGAGAGTCCTATACTGATTCAGAAGGGAGAGAGAGAAGAGAGAGAGGCTTCTCATACTGCAGTCCAGCCACCAGGGGGAGATAGAGAAGAGAGAGAGAGTCTATACTGCAGTCAGCCACCAGGGGAGATAGAGAGAGAGTCTATCTCAGTCAGCCACGCAGGGAGATAGAGAGAAGAGAGAGAGAGTCTAATATCTGCAGTCAGCCCCAGGGGAGATATGAGAGAGAGAGAGAGAGAGTCTATAACTGGGCAGTCCAGCCACCAGGGAGATAAGAAGAGGAGAGGTCTACATGACTGGCAGTCAGGCAACCAGGGGAAGATAGAGAGAGGAGAGTCTATACGTGCAGTCCGAGGCCACCGAGGGGAGATAGAGAGAGGAGAGTCTATACTGCAGTCAGCACAGGGGGGGAGATAGAGAGAGATCAACAGTGTAAATAGAGAGAGATCAACAGTGTAAATATAAACTGTAATTCTTTATATTTATTCTTTCTAATGAGCCACAAACACACTGAAGTTTATTCCGACACTTATTATGAAGAACATCCAGATGTGCGACATATAGCAGATTGTTATTGTTTGCAATTGGTTCTGCTGAACTCTGACCCCGTGGGCTCCAGTCAGGAGCTGAAGCTGAGAATCACAACCTCTAAAAACGCTGACTCCACGCTGCGCTGTGGTTGGTCAGTGGAGGAGAGACACCAGCTTCACACACTTTACCTTCGTCTAAACGCTGTGTCTCTGGAGTCTGTCGGAGGACCCGGTGTACGTACTGGAAACAGCCTGATTGGCATTGTTTGAACTGGGCTGCTAGGATGGTTCACCTGATGGAGCTGGTGCCACAGCTGAGTCCTTGCTGCAGCGGCCCGGGGTTCGGGTCCAACTTGTGGCCCTTTGCTGTCACTATCCATTAAAGGCAAAAAGAACATTGAGACAGACGCTGTTTTCTATTTCCTGGTTTGGGTTTGTTGTAGTGGGTTGTTTGATTGGACGTTCTTACACACACTCTTCAAGCAGCGACTGCTGAAGTTATTATTATATATTATTATTCTCCAATGAATCACATTTTTGGCATTAAGTGACTGTATAAAGTTTGTCAACCGTTAACAGACTCTTACTTTCACTTCCTGCTTCTTTTGACTCAGCTGTTTCCGTGGTGATGTGTTGTGTCATGTGTCTCCTCATATTTGATACTTGCGTGAAGGTTTTCCCGCAGACAGAGCAGCTGAAGGGTTTCTCTCGGGTTTGTCCCATGTGCTGAGCCATGTGTCGTTTCAGATTCCCGCCTTGTGTAAATCTGATGCTGCAGACGGAGCAGCTGAATGGTTTCTCTCCTGAATGAGTCCTCAGGTGTTTCTTCAGCGCTCCACTGGAAGTGAAGCCTTTCCCGCACACTGAGCAGCTAAATGGTTTCTCACCTGTGTGAGTTCTCATGTGATCCTGCAGGTTGTGTTTGTGGTTGAATCTGTTTCCACACTGACGGCAGCGGAACGGTTTCTCACCTGGTTCTGCCTCTAAGTTCTCCTCGGTCTCAAGCTCCGACTGCTCACTGCTGCACTTGTGTCGTCGGAACCCTGACAGCCACGTGAACTTTTTCTCACAGACACTGCAGCTGAACTGTTTCTCTCCTGTGTGGACGGCCATGTGTTGAGTCATGTGAACCTTCTGCGTAAAACCTTTATCGCAAAACGGGCAGCTGAATGGTCGCTCGCCAGTGTGAAGTCTCTCATGTGTTTTCAGATTCACCATCCGGCCAAATCTTTTCCCGCACTGAGAGCAGCTGAAGGGTTTCTCTCCAGTGTGGCTCATGGTGTGGCCCAAGAGGGACCTCTTGCAGCCAAATGTTTTACCGCAATCAGAGCAGCTGAACGGTCTCTCTCCAGTGTGAATCCTAGCATGTGTCTGCAGATGTTCCTTGCGGCCAAATATTTTCCCGCATTCAGCGCAGCTGAAGGATTTCTTTCCAGTATTACATCCCAGGTCAACATCAGAGACGTTCACAGAGTTTAAATCTAACTGAGGTCCACTGGTCTCTGTCCAATCATCATAAGTGATTTCAACCTTTAGTCCTTCAGTCCTGTCCTCTGAGCTCCTGGCTGGTTCTGGTGCTTCACAGTCCTCTCTCTCAGGTTTAGTCTTTCTTTGATGAAGCTGTGAGGACTGAGCTTTCCCTTCGTCCTCGCTCTTCACGGGGACAGGAGCAAATGGGAATTCCTCCTGATGGGTCCTGAGCCTGTGCAGCTGCAAGGACTCGCCACCACACTGGTGTCTTTTGAGCTGATACAGCCATGTAAATCTTTTGTCACAGACGTCACAGCTGAACCTGTTCTCCTTCGTGTGGACGGACATATGCTGCGTTAGATGTCCTCCGTGTTTAAAGCTTTTCCCACAGACGGAGCACCTGAATGGTCTCTCTCCGGTGTGAATTCTCATGTGTATATTCAGATTGTCCTTGCGGCTGAAGACTTTCCCGCACTCTGAGCAGCTGAACAATTTGTCTCCGGTCTCTGTCTCTCTGGTCTCGTCGGTCTGGTGGAGGTGCGAGGACTCACACACACACTGATGGCTCTTGAGCTGAGTGTACCAGGTGAATCTTTCGTCACAGAAGCGACAGCTAAAGCGTTTCTCCCCGGTGTGGACGGACATGTGGTATGTCAGGTTGACCTTCTGTGTGAAGCTTTTGGCACAGAAAGGGCAGCTGAACGGTTTCTCTCCTGTGTGGGTTCTCATGTGGATCTTTAGATGTGGACTGCGGCCAAATATCTTCCCACACTCAGAGCAGCTGTAGGTTTTCTTTCCAGTTTTACTTCTCAGATCTCCAACAGGGACTTCAATGATCTTTAGTGAGTTTAAAACAGACTGAGGTTCTCTGGTCCCGGTCCAGTCCCCATCTTGGACGTCAGTCTTTAGTTCTGAAGAGTCAGTATCAGGTTGTCTATGTGGTTCTGACTGACTGGTCCAGAGTTCCTCCTGTTCCTCTTTAATGTGTGGGGGCTCTGGGTCCTCCTGGTCCAGACTGGGGCTCCACTCTTCATGGAGAACCTCGTCTTTAATCACCAACAGCTGCTGGACGTCTGCAGGACACAGTAAACACAAAGAGTTACAGTCTTTATGGAATCTGTGCAGGAAACACAAATGGTGTAAGTGACAGGAAAAGGTGGGGGAGAGAAAGCAAAGTGCCACAGATCGAAATCGAACTCATGGCTGCTGCAGCAAATACATTACTTATAGTACCTCATAAAAACACTTTAGAATCACTAGCACCACCTAAAGGACCCTTAGAGCATTGTGAAGGATCAGTAAAATCGCCTTAATAACTAAAAGTACTACCTAAAGACCAATATACGCCTTTTATCTGAACACCACATCCACAGACCCATACTGGACCTTGAGAACCAGTCCTACCTAAAAGAACATAGAAACCTCCTAAAGCCACTTGTAGTACAACTAGATAAAATAAACTAAAGAACCCATAGAACCTCCAAAAGAAACCCTAGAATCTTCTCTTGGACCACTAGAACAACCACCTCCATGACCATAAGCACCACCTAAAGGAACACTAGAACCTCCTACAGGACCCCTTGAACTTAGTGACCACAAGTACTACCTTAAGCACCAATAGAACCACCTCAAGGATCACAAACCCCTCTCATTATCCACAAGCACTCCTCGAAATCTCCTTCAGGTTCTCTAAATAACGTAAAGATGGGTGAAAAAGTAAATCCTACATAAAGTTATCTTTAATAGACCAGGTTCTCTTCAACTTAGTGCCCCTTTCTCCTCAGAACATTTTAAATAAACACGTTGATCCTACCCGAACCTTCATCATCATCTTCACTCTTAACAGGAAGTGGAGTGAACAGGAACCCTTGAAGCTGCTCTCCCTCCTGACGGGTCCAGAGTTCCACCTGTTCCTTTTTAATGTGTGCTGGTTCTGGGTCCTCCTGGTTCAGACTGGGGTTCCAGTCTCTAGTGAGAACCTCGTCTTTACTAACCAACAGCTGCTGGACATCTGCAGAGAACAGGAAACAGAGACATCAGGAAGGAAAGGATGATCCTAATGGAACGCTAAAACCTGGTCAGATGACCACTAGAACCTGGTCCTATGAGCCACTAGAACCTGGTCTGATGAACACTCAGAACCTGGTCTGATGAACACTAGCAACTGGGTCTGATGACACTAAAACCCTGGTATGATCAACACTAGAACCTGGTCTGATGACCACTAGAACCTGCCCGTCTGATGACCAACTAGAAATGGTCAGATGACCACTAGACCTGGTCCCTGAGACCACTAGAACTGGTCGTGGACTGAACACTCAGAACCCTGGTCTGCATGACACTAGAACCTGGTCCCTGATGATCACCTAAAACTGGTCTGGATTCTACACTTAAACCTGGTCTGATGACCACTAGAACCTGGTCCTGATGACACTAGAACCTGGTCAGATGACCACTAGAACCTGGTCTGATGACCACTAAACCTGGCTGATGAACACTAGAACCTGGGTTTTCCTGATGAACACTAGAACCTGGTCTGGATGATCACTAAAACCGCTGGTTGATCAAGCACTTAGAACTGGTCTGATGACCACTAGAACTGGGTCTGAATGACCACTAGAACTGCTGGTCTGATGCACCACCTAGAAAACCTGGTCTGATGACCACTAGATGGTCCTAAAGGAAAGTAGACCTTCAGTGACAGTTGGGCCCCCTGTCAAACTCTGTTAGGGACAAGAACCGATACTTTGGTACCAAGACGCTGCCAAATTCTGAAAACGTGATAGTATTCGTTTTCCTACCGTAGGTACAAGGGTTGGGCGAACATATCGGCTATTGATTGTTAGATTAATGGTGGCCGCTTGGAAAATATTAATATATCGCCGAATGCAGTATCGGTATTAGTATTATTATTAGTATCGGTATCAGTATGTGAATAAATGTAAACAATTATTAAATGAATAATCAATATATACTGTTATTATTACGGCTTTACATCCAAACTAGTTATTTATGTTCAAAGTAATTAGAATAATTAGTAATAATGTGAGTGAGTTTGCCGTAAAGATCAATAATTCTTGCGTTGAATTATGAACACAATCAATCAATCTATATCTAAACACATTTAAATATCTAAACAAACACAATCAATTATCTAACAAACACAAATATCTAAACAAACACAAACAAATTAAAAGTCAGATTCCAGAGAGAAATCTGAACCATCAGATTATTGATTGATTGATTGATCATAAGGAAAAGACATAAATACCCAGTCTGGATGTAAAGCCATAATCAGTGATCAAAGATATTTTTCCATCACCATGGTTACCATGTGCATCACAGTACATCGTAGTAAACAAGATCAATATTGTATCAATCACATTAATCAATCCGGTTTCTACTGGTGATTATTGTTTATTTATTTATGTTTATTGTCACTTAATTCAGAAATTAAATATTATTTGCATTATAACGAGTTTGAACTCTCCCAGCTGTATTGATCATGAATTGATGCCAATAGTTGCTGATAAATCCACTTACTAATCAATCGATGAACAGACCCGTTACCATGGTGATCTCACCCGTTACCATGGTGACAGTCTGAGGTTAAATGTGAACTAGCTTCCGGATAACAAAAAACCTTAAAGACAGGCGCTAAGCTAAGGCTAATCTAATGCTAAGCTAAGGCTAGCCCCGACTGACAGCAGCAAGCTGCGGCTAACAGCTAACGTTAGCTTAGCATCATTAGCTGAGCAGTAAAGCAGCAGAAACCAGACCTGTAGTTCTCAGCTTCATTTCCGGGTTCGAACCGCCGTCCAGCAGTTTCCGGTGTCGGTCCATCTCCGTCCTGTTTCCTGCAGTGACCGGTACCGGTACCGGTTGTTGTTATTTACATTCAGCTAACGGTCCACTGCTAACAGCCTGTACGTCACACTGCGGAAACAACAACACTCACTTCCGCTAGCGGCCTTCAAAATAAAACTTGTGTGTCATAAATACTAATATAACAGCTGTGACTGTAAACACTGTTACACTTATACAAATTATAGTTATATAACTGACACATTAAAGCTGTGACTTTGATATGGTTTTTATTTATTTTATTATTAATTCAATGTTTTATTTTTCTTTGTTTTCATTTCTAGTTCTATTTTGAAGGGCTGAAAAGTAGCACCGGAAGCTCTAAGTGCAGGTTTTATATGAACTTTATTGAGAACATTGTGTGTTACAGCCCTGAAATAATCTCTGTTGTCCTGGAAACTGGACAATATTTAATCAAACCTGGAGGACAAACGTTTACCAGACGTGTAACAGAAAAAGACTCTTTTTACATCAAATGACTAGATTAAGATGAACTTTATTGATCCCCTATTGGAGAAATGATTATTTTCACTTTACAACCACAGACTCTGGGCAGTTTGAGAGCTGGCACCCCACGTACAAAGTACCGTGCTCCCGCGTCCGTGGGTTTGAATCTGGCCCCTGGGGGTGGCAGTAAGTCCCTACACACTGATCTCCTTCCGCCCCAGTCTGTGGTTGTGAAGTGTGACATTAACCTCCATCCTCCACTGGCTGACTCAGTGACCTGGTTGACTTTGGTCCACATGCAGGATTTATTTGTATCAACACAGGATACAAGCAAACTGAGTTGTCTCAGGATACAACTAACCAGAACAAAGAAAATCACTCTATTATATTCCTCTTTCCCAAGGGTGTCTATTGGTGATGTCTAATGTCTGATAAACAGTCAGAACACATCTGATGCCCTACTCTC